CACACACATATATATATATATATATATATTACAAATTTATTAATTTCCATAATAAAACTAACGTACTAAAGAAATCTAGAATATGGTTTTAATTTAAATTTTAAAAAAGGATTTACTTGAATATTCATTTTTTTAATTTATGAAAAGAATCAGGATATTAAGAATAATATGGAAATTTTGTAGAATGAAATCTGATGTGGTTTTAAATAATCAAAAGCCATTGTTGAAGCGAAAATCCAAAGAAACGAATAGGCAATCTGTTCATCGAATATCGCCCAAATATTGTAACGAGGATTTAGATAGATGAAGTTCGGTTGGGAAAACCATAATCGCTTTATAATTTAATCTAGCCAATTAACCTACCCACTATAATTTCATGGCGGTAAGATAGACGAGCATGCGTGCGATGTAACGTTTGCATGTGTCTTCTGTTGTTAAAGGGAAAAAGAGAACAGAAATTTCTCATTGCTATGAATATATCGTAGCAAGTTGTTAAATTTGTTATAACAGATGTTATGTATTTAATTGATACATGCGTACAAAAGACAAATTTTCGTAACTTTTTATTGTTCTATATACGATAGTTATTTAAATTGATAGTTGTAAAAATATTTTTAAAAATATCATTGCGTATTATTTTTTTCAGATATGAAAAAAAACGAAAAGAAAAAAATGCACTTCGTGTAAAATAATCACAAAGAATAATAAAATATATATATGAAACTTTTTGACCAACCAAAATTTTTCATTATTCTTTTTTTTCATACCATTCCAAATTAATGAACAATTATGGCGCGGAGATAGACACACCGTAATTAGTCGCGTCCATTAAAAAAAAAACATTAATACGAACTATGAAGTCAAGCAGATAGAATTAATCGGCATATATACATTGCGTAATGATTCAGTCTAAATCTTTTGCCTTTCTCTTTTTCTCGTACTCTCGACATGTACAAACTTTTCTTCAATAAAATTGCAAATGAAATTCGATTGTTACTGCACATAATTTTAATTTATGTACAGTTATAAATTATCTAATTAAAAAATACGTAAGATAATTTATAAAGATATCTCAATTATATTTTTTCTTTTCTTCACGCTGTAAAAAAATTTTTTGATTTTGTTCGTATTATTTTCATCAATAGATATGTTCTTTTCAAATTTGATAAAATAACAAGATAATTATCAACAATAATCATATAATACAATATAATAATCATAAAATAATATATTTTTAGATTAATTTTTATTCATTTGTATAACATTTTTTACGTGATTATAATTATATTAGATAAGTATATTATTATTGTTCTACACATTTTAAAAGCACTTTATCATCAATTAAAGCTTAATTGATAATTTTATTATTAAATTTAATGAAATAATAGTAAATGGTTTAATTATTAAACATATAACATATGTTAATAAAATCGATTTTAGTTTAAATTTTGATAACACTAAAGATCTAATAGAGTTTTTTTAAAATTAAAATTAATCGCTCGTTCTTTTATGAGAAATCTTTCTCTTTATTTAAATTCTTAAATTAATTTTAATTAAAGATAATCTTATTGTTATTTTATCGTCAAATAATCAAATAAATATATAAAATAAATAAATATATAAAAAAAAGAAAAAATAACATATATGAACGAATATATCGTCTATCACATAAAGTCAAAGGCCGTATCCGCCTCCTGCGGCCTCATTATCCATCCAATTAAGAATTTGCATATTAATCGCGTACCGCTATTTCGACAGACGTGACTTGATGGAATCGTTTCAATTAAAGCGTAACATCATTGCCACATACGATGTTTAACAAGAAGCGCGCAAGAACGGAAACACCACGCCTTGAAATAGCTTTTTAAAGTATAGTCATGCAAGCGTGAGCTGTGTATAATTGTGTTTTATATTTATACCGCGTGTTTCATTCCTTAATAGATCGTTTGTTGATGAGAACTATAGCAAATAAATTTGTGAAAACATGTAAGAAAATCACTTATTAATTTTATTACAATCTCTTGATTTTTAGCAAAAAAATTATATACTATGCTTTAGATTTTTATTAAGCAATATAACAAAATGTGAGGAAAAAATATAATAGCCCAATTTAATATAATAATACTACAATATTTTAATAAGTTTATTTGTAAACAACTGTAAACAACAAATGCATCGAAAGTACATTTACTTTAAAATAAAATATCAAAATTAAATTAAAAATAGTTTTCAGAAAAACTTAAATTAATATATCTCCAGTAATATATAGTAATTGATATGGAAAGATTTCTAAAGTAATTTCATTTTTTTTATGTTATTTGGATACGTATATTTAAATGATCTCTTTATACATAACTTGTGAATCTTTCTTTACTGGAAGTTTAATCATTATTTCCTGTCGTAACTTTCAACTTTCAATATTAAACATCTTGGCAATAAAGAAGCTATCTCAAGAAGTTTTTCTTTCGGGTTTTGACTGCTATAAGACATGGTTTTAGTTTTATTAAAATATATACCTGATTTTGATTCAACCTGTATAAATTTACGACATTTCGTATCCGTGATTTCTTGTTTTACTCTTTTATCTCAGCGCAGTAAATGAGTAGGTTCTTTTTTTGTGCGGGAAACGAAATTAATGTAATATCAAAGTACATCGAACCCGAGCGTTGATGCGAGCACTAGCGAGTTATGGCAACGAAAAGCCGCACTTACCCCGGTATGAAGGTTGATGAGGGAATGAGGAATTCCGGTTTCCGTCTGGAAGGCAGGCAGCATCCGTTCACCAAGCTGCGCCGCCTTATCCCGGAACATCACATCTCCCGTGAGAGCATAACAGGCAAGCAGGCTTCCCATAAAACGAATATTCGTCTCAAACAGCGATATTTCGGAGTTCTAAAACAAAACGAGCAAAATGTTCGGATTAATAACGCGTTGATCGTTTATTTGTGAATGAAAAGATTACGGTAGTATGTAATATAGCGTATCGCACATACACACATGCATACACGTATCCGTCATCTTCTCATATAATCGATTCTTATAATAAATATACGTTCATTAACCCTTTCGTTCTCATTATAGCCATATAGCATATGGCCAGGCATTATGAATTATGAAATAAAATATTACTGCGGTATATTTTCATATCTGTATGTATATACATGTATATTAGTTTTTAATAGTCTTATATAAATGGCTGTAAAAACTTTAAACATATATTTTATAATATGTATATATTATATATTATATATTAAAAAATTTCTGGTTATAATACAGTATCGACTTACATTTGGCGTTGATTCGGTGGTACAAGTTAATATAATAAGAACTTGCAAAATTGTGTGTGTGTGCAATTTTTTTCACACATTTTAGGTGAATTTATCAAAGATAAGAAAACATTTTTATAATAATTTTACACTGCAAATTATTATACGTGACTGCAATAAAAATAACACGTAAAAATGTCCTTAGATGTTTTCAAAATGTTCCAATGTTTTTATATATTATTTATTTGCCATGTACAAATATACAAACAAATATTTGTATAACTATTAAATAATCTAAAAATAAAATACAGTAATTGAGCAATACGAGAGCAATTTTTAAATGTTTCTCGGTCAAATTTGTAACTATAAATGAAATTCTGTAAATAGATATTCTTTGCACAGAGACATTCGTGACATAACTTTCTCGTTTGGGACAATTATTGATCAATTATTAAATAAATAATTTAATTTCTTTCAGCAAAATTTTCTAATAAAATTTTTTAATATTTTAAAAATTATATATTGAAGAGAAATAAATTAATAATTGCTTCTAAATTATTGTATAACGCGATATAATTCAATCTCTGATAAAAATCTCTTATAAAAAAATATGGCAAAAATCAAAAATAGCAAATTAATATACATAATACACATATAAAATATTTCAAATAAATATAATTATTATCGTTGGCAAAATCCAACGGAATAATGTTTGAATAGATGGAAATGAAGATGAGGAGAATATTTGTATATGTGAGTATGTGTTGCGTCTAAGATTTACGGCATTGCAGTTCTATTCATCGTACAGAAACTCGATCTGCATCATCTACGTGATGTAAATACATGGATTGCACTATTCACATAGTAAATACTAAGTGTTCTGCAAAATTATATCAGTAATCTGAAATAGTAATATTTGAAAGAAAAATAAATGGAATCCTTTATAGTTTACATATAAAATATATTAATATCATAAATGTATCACATACAATATAATTTTTTAACAACAAAATTATGTTACAATTTGATTGATAATTTTTAATATTTATAAATTCAATGCTAAAATTGAATTTATTATTTTAATAACTTAAATGACACGATATGAAATAATATGTGCTTGAAATAATAATAATATTTCTTGGTGTATATAATAGATTATTTATTGGTAATAATTCTATTAAATTGTCATCGATATGAGGATAGATATGCGGCAGAAACATGATGCGATGTGAAAGCTGAGTGGTATTAGCCGCAAAATGGAGAGAAGCAATTGTTAGCGGTTTTGCATTGTGTGTCATGGAAGAATAAAAAAATTTTTTCTACCTGCTAATAGTTCGTATTTTTTTTATTTTTCAAGAATTACAGAAGCAAAACTTCTTTTTAGTATTATACACGTTAAATACACAAGACATATTTAAAGTTTTCCTAACTGCTATTATGATTAAAATATTATTACATTAGTAAGATAAATTCTTTTCACAAAATAATAGTCATATTATTATATTCGTTAAATATTCGGTAGATACTTTATAATTAGGAGAATCTGAAAATGCTCTAACGCAGAAACGTGAAGATAATGACGTGTGGAGCATAAAAGCGGGTAAATTGGCGTTGTTCTCACGTTTGCGAGGTATTGTGCCGCTAATTGACATTTATGATGCACGTTGCGATAGGAAGTACCGTGGGAAGTTCGTAAGCGATACATTTTCGCGTCGATTATACTTTGAGACTAAATACTTCTTGTCAACTCCAGATTACACCTTAGATTTTCTACCAAACTTACAATTTGGCTATTACATCATTTATGTAATGTAATTAAATAGATTAATGATAATGATTTTATGTTTTATCAAACGTACCTATTTTAATATTTTTTCTACAATTGTAGTATCTGGAAATATTAATGAAAAATAATATATAAAATCGATAAAGATGTATATTATATATATATATATATGTGCATATTTTGTATATATTTTATCTGAATCTCAACACCTTTTTACGAAGAAAATGAAATTTGTGTGCGATTTACTTATATGTCAATATTCCTCTGGTTTATAAAGTCATTAATTTTGAAGAAAATATTATTGACTATTATATGTGTTATGCTATTATTTCGAATTCGTCAAGTATGGCTGATTGACTCATTTATTTTGATAACACTACTTACACAATTCTTATCAAGAGAATTTATCAAAAAGCACATGCTTAATTTAAATAACATTACTAAGTTTCGATCATAAAATATTAACTCCTTCAGACCTGATTTTACTGTAATCATGTAAAAAATTTTTTAAAAATTCAATTCATATGCATTTTAATAAGTAATTCATACTAAACAATTAATTTCCTTCAAAATTCTGACTAACAAATTTTTCCAATATAAACATTATTATGTATATCAGATTTTAGATGATATTGATAAAATTAAGTAATTTGAAAGGATAATGTTTACAAATTTGATATATAATATATTACAATATATATCTGTAGGAATTAAAATGTAAAATTAAACAATTTTGAAAATATCTTCGAAAAATATGTCATAGCATTGTCTAATTTTACATTTGAATATTTCATTAGCATCTATACTCTCAGAAAATAAGTTATATATGTATACATATATCATCTTGGATGTCATAGTTTCGCTTATTTTCCCTTTTTTCTGTCTCTGACTATCTTTTTCATTTTTATCTTTCTCTTTGTATTTACTTATCTGTTACTCTTTTTCTTCTTTTTCTTTTATTTTCTTTTATTGCAGTTCCTGTTTGTGGCAACATGTTGCGTACTATTTACAGCATAGTTACTAATAACGGTAGCAAGTTTTAATGAAAACGTTACACACGCGCACATCGCGTAGTCGTATTGATATTCGTACAGTAGCATGTGCTATCGCATGCGATGCAATCCAGGCATACTCTTCTTGAATTCATGAACATGCGTGCCGTAGTGCATGGATCTGATGAACTGTTGTTGGTATTTACACGCAAATCTTTGATTATCTACACCGTTGCCGCTTCAATTCAGGTTCTTGATATGTAGCGTGTCGAATGACTTTAAAACCCTGCCGACGATTAGTACTATAGACAAGTATTTTATTACACGGTTCTCTCTTTCATTTATTCATTTATCTGCAATAACAGATTCGTAAAAGATTACTTTTCTTAGAACGTACATAATTTGATAAGCACTGAAAATTAATACACATCTTACATACAAAAAGACTTTAAGGTTGTTTTGACTAGATTTTTCATCGACTTAATGCCTAAAAATTCTGTGTGATGTAAACATTTCAGAGGGTTTAAAGAAATTTGTATAGAAAAACTAATCTTATTTTCATATATTCTTTGCGTAATTTGTGGCAACATATTCGATATAATCTCGCAAAAATATTCTATTTGTTATAGCAAAGAAAATTGTTCTGAGGTAGATTTGTAAAAAACGTTTTCGCGTCGCAGGACTGTTATTTCACGGCTCTCCGATTCGATCCCCATCTCGTTGATACCGGGGGTGGAGTCGTCGGTTGAAATAAAGCCAGACAAGAAGCCCGGCTGCTAGGCGTCACGCTATTTTCCACTAGCTCAGCGGTATGTCGGGCGTTCCGTCCCTCCTAATCTCACACTCCGTTCTCACCGCCTTGCAAGACGCGTTGTCAGTTCTGTATAAGATCTCCTTATCTTTTTGTGTATCTCTTTGCGTACAATGGCCAATAGGCTGCGGGCATTTCGGTGCGAAACGTAACATCATGGCCCTGTAAATTGTTGCTCGTTCATCTTCCTATACCGAGAAGAGAACGTCGGTTGTCGAGCACCATCGCAATACGCGATAATTTCCTATTTCTTTGTACATAAAAACGAACATATTTAGTTATTTATTTTTAAATTATTGTACAATATAAATACATTCTACAAAAAAATTGTATAGTATAAAAAATTGTATTGTTGATATTATTCTTGAAGAACTTGGAAGTTATGATTATATATCATTTCGAGGATAGCTACCATAAACGGAAATGTGCCGAGGCAACTCAAGCGAAAAGCATTGTGAGGAGCAAAGTCAATTGTTCGAAGAGGGCTCTTTAAAGGATAATGGAGTTACGGTCGGACACGCACTACGCGGGTGGATCACAGGTGTTGATGCGATCTCTGAAATCGTTTTGTAGGGAAACTGTAATGTTTCCGACATTTCATACGAAATTCTCAAAGTCTGAGCCCGACAACTATATGATTCTCCAATAATTTTATACTTTTCTGTGAATTACTAAATTATTATACGTCGAAGATATATAGAATAGACATAAAATCACTACTATAAAGGATTATAAAAAATCGATAGTAGAAAAATCGTAATTAAATATTTCAAATATCCGTCTACTTGTTTGTTTGACGTTATCTCATTCAAAAATTGAGAAAAACTATGTTAAATGGTTTTATATAACAATTTGTGTAAAAATAATATCGGGTACAATTAAAGAGGCGATTAAAATAAAACCGACAATATTTAAATTGGATGCAGTTTTCGTTGCAACTCCGTTCTCTCTGTTGCGTGTAAAACCAGCTACATAAGTTTGGTAACATAAAGTCTCGTAAATGTAACATGACCTTAAGCATGGGTCACTGTTTGGCC